CTACATCAGGTTGAAACACTTGTTCCTGTACGATCACCGAAGTTAAGCAACTTCGAGCCTAGTCAGTACTGTTTGGGAATATCAGATTCACTAAGCTTGGTTGTGAATGTGGTCTACTTTATTAATAGCTCAGAATTTTTATCGGTGAGCCGTGTACCAATTCAAGTTGAAATCGTTATATTTACTTGCATGCAAATATCCTTAAGGAAAGTCTGAATCTACATATCCCCCCCAGCTATGGGTTAATTAATACAACACCTTGCACTCCTTCCCTGTCTTTTTGTACAGGTGTATCCTTTGTTTCCTGTTTATGGATGAGTTACCGGTTCTTTCTAGATATTTTTTCCTTCTCTTTTATTTCCAGTAGACTATGACTCTTGGTGGCATTATCGCCTTGTTTGGGGTGGTGATTCTCTAACGCTTTACTTCGAGTGGCTTTGGGCCTTGTACCGGGTAAATATCGTTGTAAAAACGTGTATCTCTAAACCATTATTATCTAAAAAATTCTTAGATTCTAAAAATATTTTCTAGCCTTAAATGTCCTGCAAAGGGTTGAGAAGTCGTAGAAAACGAATCGATAGTCAATCGATCAATCGACACAAACATATTGAAACACTTGTATTTTCCTTTGTTCGATTTCTTTTAATTATATCAAAGTGATTGTTCTCACAGTAGCACAGATTGTGTCGTATTTTTCTACATACAATACAACTCCAATGGCCGTCGAAATCGCTTATATATTTTGGATCACTGAGCATCAAAATAGGTATTATTATCTCATCCCCAACTACAGGATCTTTATTTTTCCTGGGAGGGAGATCATAAATCAAATTCTACCATCATTCCACTTTGCTGTTACGGGCTTCCACATTTAATTTTCATTAACTTGCGGGAATTAATCATATTTTATGCGACCTTAAATTCGAAAATGAAGCATGGGTTAGAGTTCAATGCATTTAAAATTTATCTCTTTTTATCCTTATTTCTTTTAAGTTTTTTTCTCGAAATATTCATTCTGTGTACAGATTATCGAAATCGGATACAATGTAAATAACAATTGCTCTGTCATATTAAGGGCACGTAACTCTAGTGTGCTAACCCCTGTTAGATATGTTATTATTTAATTAGTAATACATCACGGTTGTACTCTCAGTCAGGCTTCTTGCTTTGAACGTCTGTTGTGATTCAAGTTCATTTCGGACATCGTGGAACGTCCATATTGTTCTCCCCAAAACAAGGGAATAAAGCCACTAGGATGCAAAGGGTTTACTGAGTGTTAGAGAATACAAGAAAAAAACTACTATGAAGGAGAGAGGACAATAAAACAACAAGAACTGAGAAGACAGAAGGTAACGATTGATATTGCGTTTCAATTTTCCCCCAAAGCAAGGCAGTAAAGCCACTAAGACGCAAAGGGTTAACGATGGACGTAGCTTTTAAAGTTTCGGTCAAGTACCGCTCTATAAAGTAACTGGTCCTTCTGGACTAGAATAGTCAAATCAGACCAGAAATGGTGAACTATCTGAGCTGGATCTTCTAAAACGTCCCTTTTCAACCTTTACAATATTCAAAATCGTTTACACGACCTTGTTGGTAGGGGGACAGCTTAAACTCTTTTTCACAGACGAAAATTAAATCATTTTTCCATTGTGATAAGAATCATTTATTGTGATAAGAATGGCTTCTCCTCCCAAACAACAGCTACTTTGTGGAACTGACTTCCGCCTCCATGTTTTCATTGATACAACTATCTTAACCTCTCCAAATTAATAGTCGTTTCCTTATAAGAAACTATTCGGTATTCATCGACCAAGCAACCAGTACTAGTGTAATTATTAGATTTAGTAGTTACAAAGTGGCAAGTGTGAAATAAGAGTTGAACAGACTATTATTTTTGGAAGTCGATATTAATTGGCTAAGCTAGCGTGAGAAAGATGGGAGAAAAGGTTTCAGCGAATTGTTTCTTACCTGTCAAGCGTCAATATACAACAGAAGTGTGTATATATATATATATATATATATATATATATATATATATATATATATATATATATATATATATATATATATATATATATATATATATATATATATATATATATATATGTTAAAAATTCCTTTCTCTGTCGTGTGCCGATAGCTTAGGGATAGAATCTCTGACTGGTGCCAAATCAGTTGAGTTTCGATCTCGGGCTGAAACAATCGGATATCTATACACACAGATGAACTGAGATACAGCGAAACAGTCTGGATGTTGATATATATATTTATGTATGTATGCAATCAAAATATTTATTTCATTTAAAAGCCAATGTCTCTTGAGGATATATCTGATAATGCCTCTTTACAGCTTCTTTTTAAATTTAATTTCAATTAATTGCCGTGGGTTCTTGAGAAAGTTAATAGATTACTCTGTATTGATTTCCATGATCGCACTTCTGCAAGACGAGCTGCCAATCAAGGTTTGAGAGTTCAATTTACACTTTTAATTAAGCTGTAATAGGTAGGAGGAAAATGTTTTTTTGCCAAGTTTAGACTGGAATTTGAACCCGGCTAAACGGTAACATTTTACTGACCGGTAAGTATTACCTTGCGTTCATATCCATCTATAATATACCTACAGCGAAAAGAAATAAATAGTCCTAAAATAATTAAATTATTTTATCCCAAAAGCAAATTTATGCTACTACAATTATTAGTAAGTTGAGCAATCGAGATTGGTGGGGGTAGTACCATTATGGGTTAAACGCGAAAAGCTATCGCGTCAATGACAACAGTTTCCCGCTGTCGAATTTTAATGGCGTTGATTCTAGACAGAGCCAGATCCCGTATTGTGACTTTCAGTTAGTTTGAAATTAATTTCTTATTCTGAAATCTCTTGATTTAGTAAAAAGCATCGTCGCAAAAAGTTTCGATAAAACCTGAGCGAAATAAATTTGTTTAATAAAACATAATGAAATACTTTTACAGTGCTGACAATTAATTAGTGTAGTTAGGCGAGAGTCACCTTTTTTATGAGCCCAAAGCTATTTGGGGATTTAAGAAATGACAATTTTTTTTATTATTTTTATTATTATTGATAACTTCATTTTCTCTTGGGATAGAAAATTCTAATTAGAGCACTTAGAAATTTTGCAATCTGAATTTCATTTAGAAAATGAATTTCAGAAGGAAAATCTAAAAAAAATCTGTTCATAACTGTTGAAGATTCATTGCTGAAAGAAATTATTTTGTTGAATGATCGGAATATTTAAGACGAGGAACTTACATCAGAATAATAACAGTAGGTCAGACTTTAAATTTATGACGACATTGTTGTTGGTATCTGTTACACTTGCTTCGTTGTCAGCCTCACATCCATATTAACATGGCCAAATATATAATTTCTTTGTTCTTTGAGTTTACTATAGAAGCAAATCTGAAAAACGAAAAGGTAAATAAAATGTAATGTGTTATACAATAATAGAAAATCTAAATTTTTTTTTAATTTAACCACTATAGAGAAACTTTTCTGCCTGCCATCAGCGTGGATCATACTAGAATCCGCCTTGATTGCATTGGAAAAAAAGTTGCATTAGTGCCTTGCCTTGCGTTGGTAAAAGAAGTGGCATTAGCGCCTTGCCTTGCGTTGGTAAAAGAAGTGGAATTAACGCCGTGCCTTGCGTTGAAAAAAGAAGTGGCATTAACTCCTTGCCTTGCGTTGAAAAAAGAAGTGGAATTATCGCCTTGCATTCATTGAAAAAAGAAGTGGCATTGGCGCATTGCCTTGCGTTGAAAAAAGAAGTGGCATTACCGCGTTGACTGATGTTGATATAAAAGAAGTGGCATTAACGCCTTGCCTATATTGAAAAAAGAAGTGGCATTGCCGTCTTGCCTTGCGTTGAAAAAGGAAGTGGCATCACCGGCTTGCGTTGAAAAAAGAAGTGGCATTACCTCCTTGCCTTGCGTTGAAAAATGAAGTGGATTTGCCTCCTTGCCTTGCGTTGAAAAAATAAGTGGCATTGCCGCCATGCATTGCGTTGAAAAAAGAAGTGGCATTAACGCCTTGCCTTGCGTTGAAAAAAGAAGTGGCATTATCGCCTTGACTTCATTGAAAGAAGAAGTGGCATTGCCGCCTTGCCTTCATTGAAAAAAGAAGTGGCATTACCGACTTGCCTTGCGTTGAAAAAAGAAGAGACATTAACGCCTTGCCTTGCGTTGAAAAAAAAGGTGGCATGACCGCCTTGCCTTGCGTTGAAAAAAGAAGTGGCATTATCGCATTGCCTTGCGTTGAAAAAAGAAGTGGCGTTAACGCCTTGCCTTGCGTTAAAAAAGAAGAGGCATTATCGCCTTGCCTTGCGTTGAAAAAAGAAGTGGCATTGCCGCCTTGACTTGCGTTGAAAAAAGAAGTGACATTAACGCCTTGCCTTGCGTTGAAAACGAAGTGGCATTGCCGCGTTGCCTTGCGTTGAAAAAAGAAGTGGTATTACCGCCTTGACTTGCGTTGAAAAAGAAGTGGCATTATCACCTTGCCTTCATCGAAAAAAGAAATGGCATTGCCACCTTGCCTTGCGTTGAAAAAAGAATTGGCATTACCGCGTTGACTGGCGTTGATATAAAAGAAGTGGCATTGCCGCCTTGCCTTGCGTTGAAAAAATAAGTGTCATTACCGCCTTGCCTTGCTTTGAAAAAAAGAAGTGGCATTGCCGCCTTGGCTTGCGTTGAAAAATGAAGTGGAATTGCCACATTGCCTGTCGTTGACAAAAGAAGTGGCATTATCGCCTTGCCTTACGTTGAAAAAAAGATGTGGCATTGCTGATCGTCTCGCATTCATTGAAAAAAGGAAGTGGCATCAACGCCTTGCGTTGAAAAGAAGTGGCATTACCGCCTTGTTGAAAAAAAAGAAGGGCATTGCCGCCATGCCTTGCGTTGAAAAATGAAGTGGATTGCCGCCTTGCCTTGCGTTGAAAAAAAATAAGTGGCATTATCGCCTTGCCTTGCGTTGAAAAAAAAAGATGGCATTAACGCCTTGCCTTGCCTTTAAAAAAAGAAGTGGCATTATCGCCTTGCCATTGAAGAAGAGTGGCATTGAAAAAAGAAAGTGGCATTACCGCGTTGGCTTGCGTTGAAAAAAAGAACAAACGCCTTGCATTACCGCCTTGCCTTGCGTTGAAAAAAGTTGAAAAAAAATTGCCTTGCGTTGAAAAAGAAGTGGCGTTAACGCCTTGCCATGCGTTGAAAAAAAAAGTGGCATTACCGCCTTGCCTTGCGTTTAAAAAAGAAGTGGCATTGGCGCCTTGACTTGCGTTAGAAAAAAAGTTGATATAAAAAAACGAAGTGGCATTACCGCGTTGCCTTGCGTTGAAAAAAGAAGAATTGGCATTACCGCCTTGACTCGCGTTGAAAAAAGAATCAGTGGCATTTACCGCGTTGACTGGCGTTGATATAAAGAAGTGGCATTGCCGCCTTGCGTTGCCTTACCGCCTTGCCTTTGAAAAAGAAGTGGCATTGCCGCCTTGCCTTGCGTTGAAAAATGAAGTGGAATTGCCACATTTGCCTTGCGTTGAAAAAAGAAGTGGCATTATCGCCTTGACTTGCGTTGAAAAAAGATGTGGCATTATCGTCTCGCATTCATTGAAAAAGAAATGGCATCAACGCCTTGCCTTGCGTTGAAAAAAAAATTACGTTGCCGCCATGCCTTACAAAATGAAATGCATTGCCGCCTTCAAAAAAAAAGAGGCATTATCGCCTTGCCTTGCGTTGAAAAAAAAAGATGGCATTACCGCCTTGCCTTGCCTTTAAAAAAGAAGTGGCATTATCGCCTTGCCTTTTCGTTGAAAAATAAGTGGCATTACCGCCTTGCCTTGCGTTGATAAAAAGAAGTGGCATTACCGCCTTGTCTTGCGTTGAAAAAAAGAAGTGGCATTGCCGCCTTGCTATGCGTTGAAAAAATAAAGTGCATTACCGCCTTGCGTTGAAAAAAGAAGTGGCATTGCCGCCTTGCCTTAGCGTTGATATAAAAAAAAAGAAGTGGCATTACCTTGCGTTTAAAAAAAATGGCATTACCGCCCCGCCTTGCGTTGAAAAAAAGTGGCAGCCGCCTTGCCTAGCTTTGAAAAAAGTGGCATTATCCTTGCGTGCGTTGAAAAAAAGGTGGCATTACCGCCTTGCCTTCCGTTGAAAAAAGATGGCATTACCCCTTGCCTTGCGTTGAAAAAAAGAAATGGCATTACCGCGTTGCCGTTGATATAAAGTCATTACCGCCTTTCCTTGCGTTGAAAAAAAGAAATGGCATTAGCGCCTTGCCTTGCGTTGAAAAAGATGTGGCATTGCCGCCTTGCCTTGACTTGAAAAAGAAGAGGCATTAACGCCTTGCCTTGGGTTGAAAAAGGTGGCATTATCGCCTTGCCTTGCGAAAAAAGAAGTGGAATTGCCGCCTTGCCTTGCGTTGAAAAAATTGCCCTTCATTGAAAAAAGGCCTTTTGCCTTGCCCTGCGTTGAAAAAATAAGTGGCATTACCGCATTGCCTTGCTTTGAAAAAAAAGTGGCATTGCCGCCTTGCCGTTTTAAAAATGATGTGGCATTGCCGCCTTGCCTTGACAAAAAAAAGTGGCATTATCGCTTTGCCTTGCGTTGAAAAAAAAGATGGCATTACCCCCTTGCCTTGCCTTTAAAAAAAGAAGTGGCATTATCGCCTTGCCTTTCGTTGAAAAAAGAAGTGGCATTATCGCATTGCCTTGCGTTGAAAAAAGAAGTGGCATTAACGCCTTGCCTTGCGTTAAAAAAGAAGAGGCATTATCGCCTTGCCTTGCGTTGAAAAAAGAAGAGGCATTGCCGCCTTGACTTGCGTTGAAAAAAGAAGTGACATTAACGCCTTGCCTTGCGTTGAAAACGAAGTGGCATTGCCGCGTTGCCTTGCGTTGAAAAAGTGGCGTTGACTTGCGTTGAAAAAGTGGCATTATCACGCCTTGCCTTCGTGAAAAAATGGCATTGCCACCTTGCCTGCGTTGAAAAAGAATTACCGCATTACCGCGTTGACTGGCGTTGATATAAAAAGTGGCATTGCCGCCTTGTCTTGCGTTGAAAAATAAGTGTCATTACCGCCTTGCCTTGCTTTGAAAAAATAAGTGGCATTGCCATGGCTTGCGTTGAAAAATGATGGAATTGACAAAAGAAGTGGCATTATCGCCTTGCCTTGCGTTGAAAAAAAGATGTGGCATTATCGTCTCGCATTCATTGAAAAAAGAAGTGGCATCAACGCCTTGCCTTGCGTTGAAAAAAAGAAGTGGCATTGCCGCCATGCCTTGCATTTAAAAATGAAGTGGCATTGCCGCCTTGCCTTGCGTTGACAAAAAAGTGGCATTATCGCCTTGCCTTGCGTTGAAAAAAAAGATGGCATTACCGCCTTGCCTTGCCTTTAAAAAAAGAAGTGGCATTATCGCCTTGCCTTTCGTTGAAAAATAAGTGGCATTACCGCGTTGACTGGCGTTGATATAAAAGAAGTGGCATTACCGCCTTGTCTTGCGTTGAAAAAAGAAGTGGCATTGCCGCCTTGCCATGCGTTGAAAAAATAAGTGGCATTACCGCCTTGCCTTGCGTTTAAAAAAGAAGTGGCATTGGCGCCTTGCCTTGCGTTGATATAAAAGAAGTGGCATTACCGCGTTGCCTTGCGTTGAAAAAAGAATTGGCATTACCGCCTTGCCTTGCGTTGAAAAATGAAGTGGCATTGCCGCCTTGCCTAGCTTTGAAAAAAGAAGTGGCATTATCGCCTTGCCTTGCGTTGAAAAAAAAGGTGGCATTACCGCCTTGCCTTCCGTTGAAAAAAGAAGTGGCATTACCTCCTTGCCTTGCGTTGAAAAAAGAAGTGGCAGCACCGCGTTGACTGGCGTTGATATAAAAGTAGTGGCATTACCGCCTTTCCTTGCGTTGAAAAAAGAAATGGCATTAGCGCCTTGCCTTGCGTTGAAAAGAGAAGTGGCATTGCCGCCTAGCCTTGCGTTCAAAAAAGAAGAGGCATTACCGCCTTGCCTTGGGTTGAAAAAAGATGTGGCATTACCGCCTTGCCTTGACTTGAAAAATGAAGTGGAATTGCCGCCTTGCCTTGCGTTGAAAAAATAAGTGGAATTATCGCCTTGCCTTCATTGAAAAAGGAAGTGGATTTGCCGCCTTGCCCTGCGTTGAAAAAATAAGTGGCATTACCGCATTGCCTTGCTTTGAAAAAAAGAAGTGGCATTGCCGCCTTGCCTTGCGTTTAAAAATGATGTGGCATTGCCGCCTTGCCTTGCGTTGACAAAAGAAGTGGCATTATCGCTTTGCCTTGCGTTGAAAAAAAAGATGGCATTACCCCCTTGCCTTGCCTTTAAAAAAAGAAGTGGCATTATCGCCTTGCCTTTCGTTGAAAAAAGAAGTGGCATTACCGCGTTGACTGGCGTTGATATAAAAGAAGTGGCATTACCGCCTTGTCTTGCGTTGAAAAAAGAAGTGGCATTGCCGCCTTGCCTTGCGTTGAAAAAAGAAGTGGCATTGGCGCCTTGCCTTGCGTTGCTAAAATAAGTGGCATTATCGCCTTGCCTTGCGTTGAAAAAAAGTGGCATTATCGTCTTGAATTCATTGAAAAAAGAAGTGGCATTACCGCCTTGCGTTGAAAAAAAGTGGCATTATCGTCTTGAATTCATTGAAAAAAGAAGTGGCATTACCGCCTTGCCTTGCGTTGAAAAAAGAAGTGGCATTACCGCGTTGACTGGCGTTGATATAAAAGAAGTAGCATTACCGCGTTGCCTTGCGTTGAAAAAAAAAATTGGCATTACCGCCTTGCCTTGCGTTGAAAAAGAAGAGGCATTGCCGCCTTGCCTAGCTTTGAAAAAAGAAGTTGCATTATCGCCTTGCCTGGCGTTGAAAAAAAAGATGGCATTACCGCCTTCACTTGCGTTGAAAAAAGAAGTGGCATTATCGCATGCCTTCATTGAAAAAAGAAGTGGCATTGCCGCCTTGCCTTGCGTTGAAAAAAGAAGTGTCGTTACCGCGTTGACTGATGTTGATATAAAAGTAGTGGCAATACCGCCTTGCCTTGTGTTGAAAAAAGAAGAGGCATTATCGCCTTTGCCTTCATTGAAAAAAAGAAGTCGCATTGCCGCCTTGCCTTGCGTTGAAATAAGAAGTGGCAATAACGCCTTGCCTTGCGTTGAAAAAAGAAGTGGCATTACCACCTTGCCTTGCGTTGAAAAAATAGGTGGCATTTCCGCCTTGCCTACCTTTTGAAAAAAAGAAGTGGCATTATCGCCTCGCCTTGCGTTGATAAAAGAAGTGGCATTACCGCCTTTGCCTTGCGTTGAAAAAAGAATTGGCATTACCGCGTTGACTGGCGTTGATATTAAAGAAGTGGCATTGCCGCCTTGCCTTGCGTTGAAAAAAATAGTGTCATTACCACGGTCACTGACGTTGATATAAAAGAAGTGGCATTACCGACTTGCCTTGCGTTGTAAAAGGAAGTGGCATTGCCGCTTTGCCTTGCGTTGAAAAAAGAAGTGGCATTATCGCCTTGCCTTGCGTTGAAAAAAAGATGGCATTACCGACTTGCCTTGCCTTTAAAAAAAGAAGTGGCATTATCGCCTTGCCTTTCGTCGGAAAAAGAAGTGGCATTGCCGCCTTGCCATGCGTTGAAAAAAGAATTGGCATTGCCGCCTTGCCTTGCGTTGAAAGAAGAATTGGCATTTCCGCCTTGCCTTGCGTTGAAAAAAGAAGTTGCATTATCAGCATGCCTTCATTTAAAAATGAAGTGGCCCTGCCGCCTTGCTTTGCGTTGAAAAAAGAATTGGCATTATCGCCTTGCCTTCAATGAAAAAAGAATTGGCATTACCGCCTTACCTTGCGTTGAAAAAAAAGTGGCATTACCGCCTTGCCTTGCGTTGAAAAAAGAAGTGACATTCCGCCTTGCTTTGCGTTGAAAAAAGAAGTGGCATGTTCGCCTTGCCTACATTGAATAAAGAAGTGGCATTATCGCCTTGCCTTCAACGTTTGTTTCTTTACTTTAGCTATCTTCAGCTAAGTGCCGTATTGAACGTGTGCAAATTTTGTGCGAAAGCCTTCTGTTCAACCCACGGCAATCAATTTCTCTAAATTGTCTGTTCAGGCGATTCTGTAATGTGAATCACTCTTTATACACCTTTGTTATAAGGGTTTAGCTTTTAACTACTGAACCCAGAGAATATGAATCCTTGATGGTAGGATTGAATTAACAGTCATTAGGTAACGAGATACACTTAAACGATCACTTGTATCCATTAAGTCATTGATCCATAAGACAGTCTGACAGTGGAATGTGAGGGTAGCATTAACGGTTATCAACGCGGAAAGTCGACGAATGGGGTTGGTTTTATTCATTTCCATGAGGAAAGGCATGGATACATCCATTCTCATCTAAAATAACGAGGTAACCTGGATTCTTTAACATTATATGGAAGTCAGTGCAAGAGGAAATCTCTAACTTTAAAACGGTGGGAGAATCGACGATAAACCAGTTCGTTAACTTTTCCGAGATAAGGGGATTCAGAGAAAAACAAAGTGAATAATACTGATCTCTTTTGACTTGAGAAGATATTGGGATAAAAAGAAAACTATTGCCAAATCAATTGAATCCATTTTTATCAGATTACCGACACAACGCTCTGGTTTCTGTTCCACTTAGTCCCGAAAATTCTGTAAGAATAATAAACTATTGAAGTTGTTGAATTAGCATAAAATATTGTATTTGGTATCGTGATTCTCTGTACATATAAGAATGGCGTAGATCTAATTGTCATACTATTGTACATATAAACGTTTTACATTATTTAAATTATTCGAACTATTGTCCTCATCTTTGTCGTCATATTTATTACAACGTTTCGGCCGTTGTATGCTCCGGCCTTCTTCGGGTGGGTGGAATGTCGAACTGAACCCTTTATTTCGCTCACTGGGGTAGACTGTTCTAGTTCCACGTGCCATGTTTAATGGATGTCAGTTATCAGTTATCTCCTGTTAATTTCATTCTGAATGTTCTCCACTGCCTTAACCGGGTATTGAACTCACACTCTTTGGGTCCTGTCACTGGATCTAACTAACGCCTTTATTCACTGTGCCATGTGTCCTTGAAGATAAAGGCGTTAGTTCGATCCAGTTAAAAATCGAAAACAGAAAAGAGAAAATATAGAAGTAAAATAAATTGACTTAAATTCATCCAAGTAAATAAATAAACTAACCAATCCCGATAAAATTAACCGTTAGAAAAAAACGAATAAAGATAATCAACCCAAATAAAAACTGTTTCTGCAAAAATAATAGTTAGAATAAAACTACAACAACCAACCCCCAAACGGAACAAATAGCTTTAATTAAATTCTCAAACCAAAACAAAACTATTAAATAAGTGATATAAACAAATTTTTACTACGTTAATAAAAAACACCGATTAAAAAATAAGTCAATAAATAAATGAATAAATAAATAAATTAAGAAACAAAAAATAATTAAATAAAAACAAGCAAAATCATTTAACCCAAATAAATAAATAAACGACTTGAATAAATAACCGCCATAATAGACTACCCACAATGCACCACTGACCCGTATATGTATAAATAGCCGAGAAAAATAACAGCACACGTTGCCTGACGATTGTATATGGCATGAAACAGACTGTCGCCTCTAAGTGTTGACTTCTATATTCACTTTTATATATATATATATATATATATATATATATATATATATATATATATATATATAACATTGAGTCAACACTCAGAACGTCTAGCATGAAACAGTCTGTTGCCTCTGTGTGTTGACTTTAATGTTCACTTGTATATTTACATACTCTTTATCACTGACAATGAGCACTTTATCCCATAAATATAGCACACCTCAAAAATATATTTTTTTATATATATATATATATATATATATATATATATATATATATATATATAGGAACAGACGAAAGTTTGTAGTAAAATAAGAACTAATGCAACAGAAATTTATAAAAACAAGGATCTTTTCATTCATAACAGGTTCGGGGTTTTTGTATATTTTTTGAATTGTTTGCGACGATGGATTTCTCGCCAATTAAATCATTAACCTTTGTATTTGTTTTTGTATGAATAATTCATGAATGTATATATGTATATATGAAATCTGCGATGGGTAAATTGTCGCCATTTAATATTTTTAATTTCGTGTGATTTTTTAAAAAAAAATTTTGTCGATAGAACAGTACAATAGGGTCAGTTGGGCACCGTCTGTGAGAAAGAGAGTACTATGAGGCAATTCACTCTCCCAGAAATTTGGTAACGGCATGCTGCACCGCTTGGCATTCGCACCAGAAACTCAAATATGAACATTTCAGAGTGTTTGGGTGTCAATATGGCGACGATATTTCTCCATTCATCTTCCCTCAGGTCATCAGTTCCTTGAGGAGGTAGTACTACCTTGGATTAAGATGCTGGCTTTTGGAAGACACTATGTCTGGGAAAAGAACTCTGCATGATGCCATACAAGGAGTATCCAGTCATGGCTGTCAGGCAATTTTTTCGATCACATCACCTCTTAGATCTGGCCACTTAATTCCCCAGACTGCAACCCCCTTGATTATTATTTGTGGGGTGCAGTTAGAGAGAGATAGACCAACAAATGTCCTTGTAACACCAAATATTGAACTGAAGGTAAAGATTATGGCGACATTCACCAATTTAAAACGGCCAGAAATTTTGCAAGAAATTCGGAAGCTTTTGTGGAGGCCGTCGTTGAAGCCAATGTCAATTTTATTGAAAAGAAAATTACTTTTTAATATTTCAAGATATTTTTGTGCAATTTTGATAAATATATCTGTTAAAATGAGAGTTTTAGTTTTGCGTAATTTTCTGGGTCCTCATTTACATATATGTATGTATGCCTGTGTATGTGTTTGTGTCTGTGCAACGCTTTTCATCGACTGATTCATTTTTGACGGGTACTATGCTAACTGAATTTTAATTAAGTATATAGTGCAGTGACCATTTCAGATACACGCTTCTTGCTTTTCATTCACCGCGCTAGAATTTGATCGCGGCAAATTCAAGGCAGAAAGGATACAGTTAGTTACGGCGTGTTTCGAATTATTTTACAGTCTCCTAGTCTGTTTTGAAGTTTTTTTTAAAAAACATTAATTTGATTAAGCATAAACAAGTAAATACAATTTAAAATTAAGTGCTTTCTGAAATATGTTTTAAGTCGATGGCGATAATCGATCCGTAAATGGAAACGAATTTGATTGGTTTCAAAAATCTACATAGAAATATTACCAGACCAATGAGTTCATTTTTACTACTGAATGACAGCACTTGTGTTTCTAGAACAGAATAAAAACTTTTCTCAAAAGAAGCTTGCCTTTTAACTAAAATAGTTCGAGTTTCCCAACAGTAACAATGCTTGTTCAGGCCAAGAGAAATTGAAAATGTTGATTTTCTAAGTAGGCATACCATCACCATTTGGAAGACCGGCATAACATAATCTTCATCATACCGTTTTTCCATATTCTCTCCTCTGATTATCATGGAAAAAGAAAATTTGTATATTTCAAGTACGGCACACGATATTAGCGGAGAGCCAGCAGGGTTTAAAACATTAATAGAATCTATGAACAAGATAAGGAATTTTAAGCTATATAGGACACGAGTAAAACGCTTTACATGTACGCACTAAAGATTGTTTTCTGGTTGGTTTTATTGTAATTAACCTCAACAAAACAGCGGTTGTAGAGAAATCTTGAATATTCATGACAACTGATTTCAGTTCACAAATGTAGTTAGGGCTGCCTGCATGCTGCAGACGCCAGCGCAGACACATCTGTGTGCCTTTAGCGATTCTAGAGCCAATCAGTGGTTTATACTGCAACTATGTTGTGCGGTAAATTGTTCCAGTTTCTGAGAGAGAACGTATAGTCTAACCTGATCAGCGGTTGGGGATCCTTGCTTTGATCATCAAATGGACTCAAGAATACTTCCAACTTCAAGTAAACTTCATATATACGATAGAAAAAGATACTATAAAAATGACCGGCTTCGTATACCACTCCAGAATGTAGTTAACTTTACTTGCCTTGCTATATACCTTTACAAGAGCAAGATCCGAACAAAAGTGTGGTATTGCTAGGATATCTGGGCAGAAGCTGCCAAATCCTCTCTTGCCAAACTTGAAAGAGTTAAAATTTCCCACCCTACAATCTCTTTCCCCACAGACGCAAAGTTGCAAGACCCTCGCTAGTCTGTCGCTATTTCCATGGTAAATGATCTGTCGACCTACATTAATTATTTCTAACAATTCAAACCATTACACCTAAAACTCGCCATGCCATACACACAGAAGTGAATCGTCCCCATTCACTTCGTATACTATCAAAAAGAAAGCTCTATTTGGAAATCTTTCTCCCATACGCAACCTTACAGAAGAAACTCCCGGGAAGATGCTTCCATGGTTGCTACAATTTTAACCTCTTCACATCTAGGATCTATTTATCGCACGTATCGTCCATAAAACAGCAGCATTTAGCAAACAGTATGCTTTGAGTGGCTCTTGTTGGTGAACATTAAATGAAAAACAACATTCAAATTCTCGGTCAAATTGACTTCATCCTTCGAGTTATCGTCTACCTAATTCCACTTTCAAGACTCACGTTAGAACAAATGTACCCTGATATTTAATCATGAAAATAAGGGATTGAATATTAAGTTGTACCAATTCTCTAT